GGGGGGGGGGCGCGGAGTGTCTCTCTCCGCGCGATCTTCAGATAGTACTATCAATCTTGATTGCAATTTTTGTCATAATAATTGTTATCGTGTTACCCGTATCATTGGGCCCCATATAAACCCGTGCACGGATTCAGGACTGTCTGACTCATTAATAAAGGTCGCCAATGAATCTCACAAATCCACTGAACCTATATTTCCAAGCAGCGGGACATGAATATTAAGAAGCATACATCAGAGAGCACCCAGGCTGCGTCCGAAATATCCTTTCCGCTTTGCACAAGAATGCCGATCGCATGATTGCAGACTTATAATACCGCCAGGTCATGCCTGGTATCACCTCTGGAGATGCTTGTCTTACGCATCCGCTCCTCCTTAAGTAAATGCTGAACTATCATGTTATTTATTCGGGAGGAGAATCCTGGTCTATTAGGAATGTACAGGTTGTGTACCCACAACACTTGATATTCCCAGGAATACACCATGAGGTGTAAGATGTCTCATGAGCGAAACATTACAAATGACATGCATGTGCAAAAACAAGATCAAAAACAGATCTGAAACAACTCAATTCTGCCGTATTCATACGGGAGAATGATGGTGTCTTGGCACGCAACAAAGACGTCGCTTATAGAGCTGCGCCCAAGTCCAGGCGTCGTGAGCGAGAAGGGTCACAGGGACATCTAGATGAGGTCAATAACACTTAGGTCGATCAAATCTTGAGCGGAGCCCTGTAAATTTCACTAATAGCATCGTGATTATTAGATCATCAAATACACGACAAAGGCCAGACTTATATAATTAATTTGTAATAAGTTCTTAATTAAAGGAGGATTGCACGGAAAGAACGAAGGTCGAAGAAGGGAGAAATCGCCTAGTGGGGAGAGCGGTGAATCTCTTGAGGGTGCGGACAGACACGCAATTGGCATCGAAAGATTTGACCTCGGCGATCCTAGCATGGCTCAAAGTTGGCGGGTCGGCGATCTCCGCCCACCGATCATCTGATCACTCGCCGTAGTTCAATACGTGGCGAGTGATTAGATAGCTGAGAGAGCGTAGTGTTGAAGAGGGCACAGCGATGAGAGTCGCATCAATGCTCAAATCAACGGGCAAGGAAGGGGTCCCATTTCTCGGGTTCTGGGCCGTTTCTCATGGTTCTTCCTTCTTTCGTGTACCACTCACCATCCTACCTTAATTTGAAATGGGTTGCTTTTTCATCGTGAATTCGTCCTTTAAACGATGCTCCCAT